CTAGCTCAGCATCAAACTATATGAATAATGCAAATGCGTACGCCTAAATGTAGTTGTAGTTCGCTATATATATATACATACACATATGCATATATATGTTTAAATTGTATTTGGTTTCTCATTGGAAATATTCAGCAATTTTCATTGTTTTCAATTAATTATTATTTATGCATTGTATACACATAAAAAATGGTTCATTTGTGTAAATTGTTTAATTTCATTTGCTTGCAGATAATAATTATTATTAATATTATTTATATTCATTTTGTCTGAGAATGTGAATTGGCAGTTTCAGATTTTTTTTGTTTTTTGTTTTTGTGTAATTTTTGTCGTTTTTCTTTTTGTATATTTATGTATTTTGAAGTTTACAAAATTTCGATTCAAATGTTTACATTAAAAACGCTTGGTCTAATAAAAAAATTTTGCACTATTTGACTGTAATTATTTATTTAGTTATTAATTATTTTTTTGATATTTTATATATAAATTAAAAGAAAAATTCTAATTTCATTTGCTAAGAGAATTTCAAAAAATTGTTTTTTTTTTTTTTTTTTTTTTCGTATTTTGTTTTTTGTTTGTTTGTTGTTTGTCTTTAAAAGAATATAAAGTGCAAAAATTTCACCAATATAATTCGATTAATTTTGACAATTGACCTATTTGCTGTACGTCGATTTTGATACCGGATGTGCATAGAGATTGCTATTTAACTGGGAGTGGGGGAAGAGAGAGCGAACGATGCGGAAAGCCTGAAGGCGGCAGTGTTCGTAAAGCGAGAGTCACAGATAAGCAGAGCTAGACATAGAGGGAGACAGAAGTATGGACCTCTCAGAGTTGAGTGTTCGACTGAATCCAATTAAACAATGATATGTATTCGTTCAATTTGCCGAATAAACAATGAAGCAAAAACAGTGAGCTGGCTAGAAAACATAGGGCTGAGCACACACACATACATACTACCCAAGTGCCGATCGAGTAGTATTTATGCATGAGAGAGAATAGAGTAAAGGACTTGATTTGCTCTTGATCTAAATAATGCTGACGGAGGAGCTGCCTGGGCAGCATTCAGGTTCAGCTTCTATTGCTTCCCCATCGAGAACACGCCAAATGCTAGTGAAGAAGAAGAGTAGTCAAGATGCGCTTGTATTAGTGGACTTGAGGCTGGGGAGCTAAAGTTGTCTGTTCTGTTAACTGCTTATGGCTGCTAGGGCTTTATCGTCTAGTTAAGATGTGTTTGTGTTGGTGTGTGTGTGTGTTTGTGTGTGTGTTAGTGTGTGTGTGGTGTATAAGTATTTATTATAATCGTAGCTAATACACAATTCGTATTCACTTATCATATTTATGAAATATTATTTGTATTTGTATTTGTATTTATTTTATATTTCGCTCGTAGTTAATATTGCGGCAAACACTTTGAAAAATAAAGGTTTGCATTGGAAAAAGAACACGTTACGATTTCGATATACGATGTACGATATACGATATACAATATTCAATATTCGATATTGGCTCTTAACATTATCTATATATATATCTAGGTATATATTCAGAGTTGAGATATTTTACAATTGCTTCTTTAGTTCAATTTGAGTTACATTTCTCATATGCCTTGCTGAGCCCTGCACCTGCATTTGCACCTGCACCGCTAGCTAGAATTCATTGTGAGCTGTATACCTGGCAGAGGTATCCCTACCACGCATATACACATATGCACATCCACACAAGTGTATGCATGTATATGCCTGTACGTATCGCATTAACACTAACAACTAATGGCAATTTCCTTCTATTATGCAATTATATAGAATTACTGCATGGATATATATACGGATACACATATTCATATGCGTATAGATATATATGTGTGTATATATATCATTTATTATTCTATATATATTTAATATGTGATTTTTACATGATTTATATATATCTTGTTGTTATCCTTTTGCATAGCATTCAGTATGTATTCAATTCTCTTACTTATTTTCTCTCTTTACTTGGCTTGAGAAAAAAAAAGCACGAATAAACTAATTTTTTTTGTTTTGTTTTTTCTTTGTGTTTTTAATAATTATTTAGTTTCCTTGTACACCAAGTATTTTCATTATATTATTTGTATTTGTATTTGTTTTTAACTAGATTTTAGCCTTATGCATATTTGGCTATAAGCTGTTAAAAAAAAAAAACGCTTAAATTACTTTGTTATTTATTTCTTTATTGTTATAATTATTGTTTTTTCTTTTTTCGTTATCCATTCTCTCTATTAGCGACCTAGAAGTAATTTTCTCTTATTTTCTTCCAATTGCTTTTCTTATTATCCTCAAACCTTGTTGGCTAAAATCTAATGCGTCTTTGAGTATGCTGTAGTGAGAAAACAAATAGCAACGAAGGATGTTTGTGTGTGTGTGTGTGTGTGTGTGTGTGTAGGTGTGTGTGAGCAAGTGCAGATGATTCCTGATTTGTTTGTTTCTTATTTTTTTTGCATACCAACTGTGGAATTGTCAGGCTCTGTTAGCATGATTCGTGACTCGTGATTCGTGACTCGTGACTCGTGAGCTGCCCTTTGCACGGGAACCTTCAAGTATAATTATAAGTATTTAACTCTAAAACTATTTAGCTGGCAGTGACATTTGCTCATTTGGCTTGGCTTGTCTGAATGCGTCCTCGATTGTGACAGAAAAATGCGCAACAGTGTGAAAGGAAGACAGAGATAGAGATACCGATACAGATAGCGATAGAGACTGAGTGAGCAACGCATTGTAAGAGAGTTGGTGTCAGTGATTGCGATTGCGATTGCGATTGGTTTCAGAGAGCCCGCTAATGGAAAACTCTTGAGGCGTCTGCAAGTTGTTTGGTCCGTTTTACAGTACTTTCAAAATTTCTAACAAAATTGTGATTGGGCAAAAAACGAGAGCTGGCTATGGTTCTGGCTCTTGCTCTGGCTATGGCTATGGCTATGGCTCTGGCTCTGGCTCTGGCTAAGCGGGAGCCTTGCAACAAACAAAGTGCGCTTCAAAAAGTTTTCTGGACGGATTTTACAATTTGTAGCACATGATGTGTGGTCAATTCGATGTGAATCAGATCAGCTAACTATATATATATATATATATCTATGTATATATGAGATAGAGAGCGAGACTCGCTTTCTATATATACGTACACACATACATATACATATATATAGATATAGATATGATTGTATAGACAACAAGTTAATGAGTTATGTGAGACTTGACTTTGGTTCCACAGCATTCCGACAGCTCGCTCATGTGTGTGTGTGTGTGTGTGTGATTGAGTTTTTCAATTCATGAAAAATGTATGATAATTATCTAATATTTCCCTCTTGCTTTTCGGTTTGTTTTGCTTGGTCTATAAGGTGTGGCTTAAATATGTCTGCAATTACTGCAATTGGAATTATTATGAACTATGTAATTTGCATGGTATTCTCATTTGTTTGTTTGTGTTTTCTTTTTTGTTTTTCCTTACGTTTTTTTAATATTTAATTTATGCTATAAATGCTGATGAGTTTGCTTAAAAACTTCACACAGTGAACAAACATTATTCATAATGACGGAAATAAAAGCTGCGTGTTTCCGTTTGCAATTTTGTATGTGTGTGTATGTGTTTATAATTGAAAAATAAGCTTTATGAATGTGTGTGTGTGTGAGTGTGTATTTAGTATTTTCTGCTTTCTTTTGTTGTATTATTATTATTTTTTGTTTATATTTAATGATGCGCGCTACAGATTGACCTAATTTAACTATGTATGTGAGTGAGTGGATGTGTGTGTGTATGTGTTTGTGTGTCCTCGGCATTTGGAGTTTTCGCTTTTGTTTCTGGTATTTTCTTGTTGTTAGTATTTTAATGCATATTTGTTGTAGTTGGTATTTTGTTTCCATTTTACTAAACTGTCGCTGATATTTATTGATATTTTTTGTTCTTTACATTTAGATTTTGGTATAATTTTTCCTCTTCTTTTTGCATACAAAATTGGTTTTTCTTTTTTGTGTTTCTTTTTTTTTTTTTGTATTTTAATTTTATATATTTTTTTTTTTTTTTTTTTGTTTTGTATTTTTATTTTTTTGTTTGTTTTTTTTTTTTTTTTTTTTTTTTTTTTTTTTTTTTTTTTTTAGCGGGTAATACAAATGCTTAGATTAAGAAAAAAAAGTTGTTTCTTTATCTATATATGTACCATATATATAGCATATGTGTACGCATATACATATTTATATATATTTAAGTATAAGTAAGTTTAATATTTAGATTTATTTTATATGCTGTACTTAGTTAACCTAGATTCGAATACATGAACACTTCAAGATATCATTTTTATTTTGTTTTTTGTATTTGGTTTTAATAAGTGATTTAATTGAATTGAATTTAATCTAGCTTTTGTTTTTGCCTGCTTTTGTTTTACTCTCATTCTCTTCTTTTTTTTTTCGTTTTTTCTTTTCTGTAGCTTAATTTCGTTTTATTTTAGTTTTTATATTCACTCAATTTTGTTCAGAATTTATTCGAATTTCGTTTTCTTTTTTATAAATGAGAGATGAGTTTTAAGCTACTCTCCATTCGTTCCTCTTCTTCCTCTGTGAAACAGTCGCAGCTGCTGCTGTTGTTGTTGCTGCTGTTGTTGTTGCTGCTGCTGCTGCTGCTGGTGTTGGTGTTTCGTGATGTTCGCAGCTGCTGTTGCAGCTGCCGATGTTGTTGATATTGGGGGTTTTAATACAGAAATGCAATTATATTCGCGGGCGTCGTCTCGACTTCGTTGGTGTCTTTGTTGTGTTGCTGCATGACAAGCAAAGTGAGGAGCAGGTGCGAGTGTGTGCGATGTTGTGATGGGGGGCGTCTACGGGGCGTATGAGTAATGCCGCGTAAATGTTTTATGTTTATGTGTGTGTGTGTGAAATTGTGAAAGAGCGAGTGTGTTTGTGTGTGTGTGTGTGAGTGAGTCTGTGTGGGTGTGAATAAGAGAGAGAGAAAGAGTGTTGTTGTTCTTGTTGTTGTAGATGTTCCTCGACTTTCCATTCCCTTCGTGCTGTTCGAATCCATTCCTTCTTCCATTTTCCTCTTCCATTTCGCATACACACTTTGTCCTTGTCTCTGGGCAACATACTATTTTCATAACATTTGACTTGAATCCATGGGGCATGCGGGCAGCTGCAGGCGCCACGTGCAACCTGCTCGCGATGCCCTTGGGCACAGCAGCCAGATGGCGGCTGATGCGCCCAAACTCCTTTCCCTTCGGCTGCTACTCGTGATTGGTATTCATCCATATCCGGTGCTTCGTCTATCGGTTTTGACTTTAATATTCGTTGTTGTTGATTGTTGTTGTTGTTTGGTTGTTGTTGTTTGGTTGTTGTTGTTTGGTTGTTGTTGTTGTTGGTTTCGTATTCCTTGCCTTTGACTTTAACTTTGGTTCGGCTTAGTCCGCTTTCATTCGTTGTGTGCTTTGGTCTATTGTTGTAGCCTTTATTTATCCTAAACCTTGTCGTTATCTCGCCTCGTTTATCGCTTATCGTTGATCGTTGATCGTTATCGGTATCTGTTTCGTTATCGTTATCGTTACTGAGGCGACTCTGTGCTTTACTCTCTTGTTGATTGAAAATGACTTCGATGTGCTAGCATTGACGATAGTTTTTTTGGTTGTATTTGTAAGATACGTTTTATATTTTTTTCAGTTTTGTGTTGAACTTATGAAGCGGTTGCTGCTGCTGCTGTTGTTGTTGTTGTACTAAAATAGTTGAACGTTGTTGTTGTTGTTGTTGTTGTGGTTTTCATATTGAGACGACATATTGCATTTTGTATTGTTTCTAATACTCCCAATATCATGCATCCTGTATTTCACCTTTCAATCCAGGCACCCTGTGGTGTTGGTTATGTCCTAAGCGATTTGCTAAATCCTGTACAACATCACGAAATATAACTGTATCTATATTTTCACCTAATAAATACAACAAAAACCAATCGCCCATCTTGGAACGACGAACGATTATTTCAATTGCGTCTCGACGCACTAACCTGTGAAGTGAAACGGAGAGACCAGTGTTAGAAAACGTTAGATCATCGCATTTAGCATGATATGTGTCACTCACCTAAATCGCATTCGAAATAAATATACCCTCATTCGAGGCGAGAATATAATAACCACCCTGTATATTAGCGTTAATAATGTGAGTAACGTTAATAATATAAACCAAAACCAAAGGAAAATGTAAATTTTCTCATTAACAACGTTTAATGGTAAAATGCAAATGGCGTCGTGTTTTTCCACCTATTCAAAGAGGAAGAAGAAGAAGAAGAAGTTTAATTATATCCACAATTAAGCATAAATAATTTGAACTATACTCACCTCCCCACTTGAACCATATTTAAAAAATGTACATTTGGTCATTCTGGGAAATATGTAAATCATCGGATCCATGCGATCTTCCTGATCGGTCTCCATATAATCTATCACATCCAAGCCAAATGTCATAAATTCACCATCGAAAAATCGATTCATAAGAAACATTTGACCTGCGAAACGAAAACAACAAATTATATATATATTTAGATAAATTCCGACGTGTAAATATATTTCAATTTGGATAATTTTGAATGAAATTATGAGTGCGTAGTATCTGCTGGGAGATGCGCTGTGTGGAGCGTGTTTATAAATCCAATTTACGAGTTCATTGCCTACCTCCGAGAGCGTGTGAACTCAGCTAAATCTGTTAACAATCTAATAAATTATGTCAGTCAATTCATGTGTATCAATTAGGCTTCGCTTCCGGTCCCATGCTCAAATTAATAATCACGCAAATTGAATCGAAATATAACAAATTAGAGGTAAATTCGTTTTTGTGCGTCTGTATGAGCTCATTGCGGCTATTGTTATGGAAGCTATTGCAATTACGAATGGCATTACTATGGCCATTAGTTGAGCTGCGCACTTAAGCATGGTTAGATCACAATATCAAGCTGCGATCATTAAGAGTGTAGTAAATGGGGAGCGAATGGGGGGAATTGCCTTAGAGCTAGTTGCCTTTCTTTATGAACTGCCTAAACTAGAAATATTATATATATATATATATATATATGCATGTACGACTCTTGTAGCTCAGCAATGAACTTTCCTATATATAAGTTCATATGGGCTAACTGTCGCCATATAAAACTCAGCATTAATAGCAATCAATTTATCCTGACCATATTTCTCAGGCAATAATAGAGTCTTACGATCCCTAATAAGTGCATTTTGTGTACTAGTTCTAAGTCAGAAAGTACTCAATACATATATGTACATATATATACAATATATATACAATAATCTTACAGTATATATAATTATAATTGATTGATGCATAAAGGGTGATTTTTTAGCTATTATCTTTTCAAATAAAGATTTCAGGCATTTTTATGAATTTTATGTGTGTTTTTTTGAAAAACTTTCCTATAGCTTTTATAAAATTACCCTTTATATAAGAATTTGGTGTGTCTAAAAATTGATAATTAATGAATACATATATAAATATATATAATTAATATACATATTTATTTATATTTAATCAATCAAATTGTTTTTGAGTGAGTATTCTACAATTGGTTATACCCGACTGCAAGGCTGCTGTTATTATGATGGATGCTGATGAGGTTGATTCCAAGGAACTCATATGCTCATAGCATATGTATATGAAAACGTAGTCCAAATTTTAACTAGTTATTCATGATATATAGTATATATGTCTATATCTGAGGCATTTGGTACGAACTATGTTGAAACTGAAATGGAATTTGCTTAAATGGGCTACAGGCTACCCCATTTGCCTCACTTCATTAATCGCGTTTCTTGTAAACTCATCAGACGTCAACATTCAATTAGCCTGAACTTTGCCTTAAATTTGTTAATAGACAAATGTGTGCGTGTGCGTTAGTGTGTGTGTTTGTATACTTGCACATATATAGGCAAATTAGTGTATTTTATAATTGTTTATTTCTTTATTTCTTATGTATTCTGACAGTTAATTATTTTGCTAGATTTCCGATTGTAGCGCACGTGGCGCACGTTGTCCGAGATGCAAAAGAAAATGGAATTGGAAAATGGAAAAGAAAATGAACAAAAAGAAGAAGAAGAAGAAGCCTGCAATACGCAGCAGTGAGTAAAAATTTGTTTATTTTGATGCGGACTGCGGCTACGGTCAATTCGATAAAAATTCGTCATTGATTTTCCACGGAAAATGTCTGAGTGAACTGGCAACATATATGAATATGCATATGTACATATTAACATACATATGTATATACTTTTATGCATATAGTTTATCTCTGTTTGTATATACTAAAGATATTTTGTATGATTAACCCCAAATTTGTTTATTATACTATGAAAACTGAGGCATTTGCTCTGCATCAGCTGCACAGCTGACGATCATGATGATGATGATGATGATGATGATGATGATGATGATGATGATGATGATGAGGATGCTGATCTGGGTTACTCACCTATCACATTTATCAGGGCGAGCAGCTCACACACGTAGTATCTGTACGCCCACCAATTGTGATATCTGGAATTGCAGGAATTCAATTGTGAAATTGCAAATGCGCTAAGTAATTTGCAATCGCCTTGGCTTACCTTAAATTTTCCCATAAATAATCTAAAAGTAATTTCTTTTTTTGTTTTTTCTCGGCTTCGGAACAAATGCCTATATCTAAGTCCATGATGAGCGCATGAATTTTGCCACCCTCCCAAGACTTCCACAGCCATCTTGGTGTGTAAAATAAGATTGCCTGCAAGCAGAGAGAGAGAGAGAGAGAGAGAGAGAGAGAGAGAGAGGGAGAGATGTATGAGATATTATCAAGATATATGTATATGCATATATACACAATATATATTTAGTATATTTAGTTCTGTAAAGGTGAGCTAGGGCGACGCAGTGTAGGCGTCTGTCGTAAAAGCGCTTAAATTTGACAAGTGACAATTGCCAGCTGCTTGCCTTAGCCATAGGCCATGGCTAGAGCCCGGCCAAGTAATTCCAGCTAACAATGCCAAAGGTATTATATGATCAAAATTGCCTTTGCTTGACCTTCCCAGTGCATGCCTCTGCATATTGTTCTCATTATTATTATTATTGTTTGCTGATTCCGCGATTTACTTACAGACAGCTAGACACGAGGGATATATCTTATGTGTATGTGTGTGTGTATAAATGTCGCATATATGTATACGTATTTATAGACATGTCATCAAAACAATTAGCTGTGATCCATTAGCGAGAGTAGAAAAAACGACAGGGCGACAGAGCGACAGAGCGACAGGGCGAACAGAGCGAACTGTGGATGAAGCAACAACAGACGTTGCCACAGTCCGTCCGGCTGGCCAGCAGCGATCTTGCCCAATTAAATGGATCTGCCGCTGGCTCTGACGTGCTGCTATTTATGCCCGCTCTGATGACATATTAATAATAACTTGTATCGTAAATTTCTGGCTAAATTGTGCAAATGTTTGCTTTGGCTATGGCTTTGGCTTTGCTGAAATGTGGGCAGGTGGTAATCCCCGCAGCCAACGCGTCAAACGGACAATGGCTTAGCGACCAGCAGCAGCTGGTCGATCGGCGAGCGAGGTGAGAGTTCAGTTTGTTTAGTGCCTACATAATGGCGTCTGTCTGCCATTGTCATTGCTCTTATAATTCACGCGCTGTTGATGTTGGCAAATGCTAAGAGATCTTATAGACAGCAGCATGCGATCAGGCCATACAGCCCCATATGACTTTAGTCCACAGCACAGCAGTCGACAGGCTTTTGGCATGGCGGTCAGGGCATGGTCTTGGCATGGTCTTGACAGCAGCAGAAGAAGAAGAAGCAGCAGCAGCAGCAGCTGAATGTTGCATGCTTTTTGCATCTGTTGCAACAATGCGACTCAAATATGTTGAAATACGTTGAAATTGACGTCGCTCGGCCAACATCTGCGGCAGATTGTGGGGCCAGCAGCAGCAGCAGCAGCAACAGCTAAACAACTGGGCACACAGCTTGCAACGCCCTGCCGGAAGTCAAATGATGCGTTTGATTTGCCTTTTTGCCGTCGGGCATAATTTTTGATTTTTTTTTTTTCTGTTTTGTGTTTTTGTTTTTATACCCTTGCCCTAACAGCTCGGCCCTCAATTGGGGCATGCTGCTGGCATTATATTTGTTTTCCTATCGCCATCTCGCTTCCTTTGCTGCAAATTGGCTGGGACCGACGACAGGCAACAGCAAGAATCGGAGCCATATTCGAAAAATCCCTTTCTAGAAGAAGGCAGCCGCAGCAGCTTGTGCCAATGGCTGTGGGTGAGTTTGCGTATCGAACTGCATGCGTGCGTGTGTGTGTGTGTGTGTGTGCGTGTGTGTCTGAAAAGCAATTTGGCAAGCGTTCAAATTGCCATAAAAACATGGCATAAATGCAGCTGCAATCAAAACCAAACCAAGTCGAAAATCAACAGGCGCAACCAAGTTGAAAGCAAAGGACGCCGCACAGTGGAGCAAAGGTCGAACAAAAGCAAAAAATAAAAAAATCCAAAAAAAAAACAAACATAAAATAAAATAGGTAAAAATAAAAAAATAAAAAATATATATTTAATTATATATCCAAATTTACAAAGTGGAATTCCAAGAGTGTTGGATGCGATTGAATGTGATTTTTATTATTCGATATTAAGCCGTCGTTTATGAAATATGTGTTAATATATAAAACACACCTATTGGTCTGGTCAGCAAAATTTGGAGTATTTTCCAAAGTATGCCAAATGTATGTTAAACATTATTATTATTATTATTTTTTTTTTTTTACTTTTTTGTTGTTGTTACTATTCTAAGATATGTATATTTTGTGCATTTTAAGTTACATGAAAAAATATAAACGTCATTACCATAAAAAAAGTTTTTTGTTTACACCTATTAAATTGGCCATGAGTGTATATCGGTGTTTATATATACATATATATATTTTTTTTAATTTGTACTGTTTAATTATTATATTTTTTATTTATAACAGCTATACAAGCTTACTCAAAGCTGCATTTTTTTTTATATATATGTATACATATATATATACATATATTTTATTGTATATATTTTTATTACTATTATTATTATTTTTTATTTATTTAATAGTTCTAATTTTTGCGTTTATAATTTATTTTTATCAATAATAAATAACTATTGATCAATCATTCATTATTTCTATTTGCCAAAAGCATTTAAGACCCAAATTAATTTCAAGCCCCGTAACACTTGCCCCACTGTGCGCAGTGCATTGAGGATAAAAGAGAAGTTTGCATTTTCAATTAGGCAAACGTCGCGCGCGAGCGAACGTCTTGTGGCTCTGGAGCCCCACCAGCCCAAGCAGTCCAAGCACAAACAGACCCATAACTACATATGTAGCATGGCTCCAGTGCGTGGGCGGGCTGTGCGAAAGCTAGTGCTCGGCTTGTGGGAGGCTGGGGAGAGCGACGACTGCGACTGTGAGTGCGAATGCGAGTGCGCCAGTTGCGTTGCGTTTGCCGGCTGCCGGCTGCCTGATCCCGGTTCCCGGTTCTCGGTTCCCGGTTCTCGGTTCCGTGCTGGCTTCTCCCACTCTCGCACGCGTGCATAAAAATAAATACACATAAGTCAAATATAAACACATGTCCAATGCTCCAACTCTGGCGGGGAATCCGCCAGCCGTCGTCAGCGGCGTCACGTTGCCAGCCCGTCCCTCCCAAGCCGAACCCAGCATCAGCCTCAGCCTCAGCACCAGCACCAGCCCCGACTCCAACCCCCCAGCGTCAACTCGTTGCTTTTCCCCGCTCTCCCGCTGCTGGCCATTCGGGCCAGATTTTTGTTTCTGTGTGCTGGCATTTGGCCAGAATTATTATTTGTTCACTTTTATGTTTGTCTGTGCCTTTTCAATAAATATCCAGATAGGCAAAAAAAGAGAAGAAAAGAGGAAAAAAAAGAAAGCAGATTTCAATTTTTGACATATTTGAGGGGAGCGCTTGATCGATTTGAGCCGATCGGGGCCGGAATCAATATCGAAATCGTAATGAAATTGGAAATGAAAGAGAACGATCATGAAAATTGAAATGGTAAATGGGAACGGGAGTGCCAGTGCGGTGGACTGGAGGTGGGAGGTGGGTGGAAGGGATGCTGAACATGTTCGCCTGCTGCAAGGCAGAATTTGCTTTTAAACTTTATAGCTGCATTGTCCAAGTTAATGGCCTGGCCATTAGCGTGGGCGATCCAATTGTTGATCTCCAGATAATCGCTGCCGATCGCTGAACACCCGCCACCGCCACAGCCACCGCCCCGCCCTGGCCCCGCCCAACTGATCAATTATGAACGAGGTCCTGAGATCACAATTGTGCTACTACGTACGTCCATAGATGCTTATGCATCTAGTTAGGTATTTTCGAATATTTGAAGTTGATTTCAGGTGTTCCATAAAGTTCCATATATGTATATTTATAGATAGGTATATACATTTATATATACATATATATATATTTATATACCTACATATTTATATATTGGTTCATTTGACTATGTAGTTGTTGGCTACAGATTTATAGCTTTGCTTGTTTTCTCGTGGCATTTATGATCGTTGACTTTTATTATTTATGCACAGTACATATGCACACACAATTATACACACACACACACATGCACATACATAATATATATAAATACATACTTATTTATATATGACTATATATTGTCTGATCGTTTTGGGCTGAGAACTGCATTCGATTTCAGGTCGCATCCGTCGTCTTTATTAATAAATCCACAAATTAAGCAGAATGGAAAATGTGTAAATTATAGAAACGCCGTTCACGCGTCATTAAGCAGGGAGAATACCATAATAAATGTATTTATAGGTATTTGGGTGACTATGACGGCGTCGTCTATAATCGCCGCTGTGACACTAACCGAGAAAACGAAGCCGTATGCCCACCAGACGCTCCCCCACCGCCCTCAGCCCCCCCTCCGTTCACCATCCACTCTTAACCCCTCAATCGGCCAACAGACAGAAAACACACAGAGAACCGAATGGCGACTGCGACAAAAGTGTGGTAAAAATATACATTTAATATTTGGTACATTGTTAGCGGGAAGATATATTATTGTGTAATCGTTCGGGGGCCCCGCGTCTCGCCCTCAGTTTGGACTGGCCCCTGCCTTGTCATGCCACTCGAGACATATGGCAGAGCAACGTCATAAAATGCAAGTAGAACAACAATGGGGCACAAATTTCAGATCCATTATATACTATGTGCTAAAGTGAGCTCGCATTTGAACATGAAATAAAAAATATGAAATATTTCACTGAATTGGATCAGCTAAATATAAGACAATTACCCCTAAACAGCAGTTCACGTAAGATATGTTCTGGTCCACCTGCTCAATGCGCCTCGATTTAGTCAATTCAATTCAGTTGACATTGAAATTAAAAATCAGATCATATATTGGCCTTATTCAAATGTGAGAAGCATGGAACTCTTTAAATTATATTCCAAGTTAAGATTAAAAGGAGGTCATGATGATCCTAATTCAATTGCTGGGGATAATCTTCTGTCAAAAATTGCTAAAAAAAAAAAAAAAAAAAAAAAGAAAAACTTACAAAAAATAAGTTCTATATTCTTCAGTTAAGATTAAAAACCAAGTCGATTTAGCCTGCACTTATACATCGATCGACACATCTCGTCCCAGCTTACAGCTATGGAGTATACGTAAAATCTATGTGTGTTCCGAATGCACATGTATTTGCTTATGTCATG